ACGTCAGTCAAGTACCGAGAATTAAAATTTAATAAGTACTGACATACAGCCACACATTTATGTTTTTTCAGCCATGCACAAACTCGTTTATCTCTTAAATTGATGTTTATAGCCATGCACAAACTCGTTTATCTCTTAAATTCTCACAGAAATCATACCAAGCGGATGCACCAGAGGAATTGTTTACTTCAGAACCGAGTAATTAAGATGGTGGACTTCATGTCAATCAATCCAAAAATTTGAGCCAAGTCAGTCAAGTACCGAGAATTAAAATTTAATAAGTACTGACATACAGCCACACATTTATGTTTTTTTTAGCCATGCACAAACTTGTTTATCTCTTAAATTGATGTTTATAGCCATGCACAAACTCGTTTATCTCTTAAATCCTTACAGAAATCATACCAAGCGGATGCACCAGAGGAATTGTTCACTTCAGAACCGAGTAATTAAAATGGTGGACTTCATGTCAATCAATCTAAAAATTTGAGCCAAGTCAGTCAAGTACCGAGAATTAAAATTTAATAAGTACTGACATACAAACAAGCACCAAGAAGAATGCTTTGCCATCGTGACAAGTGCTTAACAGTGCCGTCTCCTCAAGTGATGTAAATGTTACATTCATGTGTGTTGTACATGCTGCAGAGTGCAGGCTTGAACTACACTACATTCCTTCAGGCGTGAGTGAATCACCAACATATAACTATTGTACAAGTTTCCCTCGGCCTACAAAAAACAAAATACACTGCAAAAGCTTCTTCCAGCTTTGTTATCTACAAACCCATCTTCTTGGGCCTCAGATATGTCGAACCTTTCTTCAGACCCGGCATAGAGATCTGCTGCTGCTGCTTGGCTCTCTTCCGTCGCTCCCTCTCCTTCTCCACGAGTGCTGCCTCCGCCTGTTCCTGCCTCAGCTTCTCCATCTCCTCTTCCATGGCCGTCTTCTCCTCCTTCTGTCTCTTCTTGTGGTCCAGAAGGGAGGTGTCCGTGTCTTTCACAGAGAAGAACATAGGACCCAGCTCCGCCAGCCATTGCGGATCCACTGCGCTCACACACTGCATATACTCCTTGGTTGTCAGGACAAGCTCGTGGTACACCACATAGTCAGGGGTGTACCCGAGACCATACAGAGCACTGCTCGGATGCAGGTGGCACGGCATCCCATTCCGGCAGTTGACATACTCTCCTATGCCCTTCAACCTTGCCGAGTTATGGAAGTACGCCGAGCAGATAGCTTTCCTTACCACGTCCCATTCCATATGGCATGATGTCAGTGGGATCTTCAGGGCTTTCAGTATGTCTAGCAGTTGAGATCTCACTTCCCGAGCCTTACGGAGACCCTTAACATGGAGGAAATGGTCATTACACCAGTCTCCTCGATATTGGTTTGACTTCCACTGCAGGTATACATTCAGGAGTGTTAGGTGGTCAGACTCTGGGACAAAGAATTTTTCCCTTGCGGCATCGCTCTCCTCTGCTCGATCTTTTGGCCGGAAGAAAACTGAGGGTACTGAGAGCATGGATACAATGGTCAATACTTCATCAAGGCATTCCAGCTTCTCCCCCATGAGAAGCATCTTTGCTAGAGTCGGGTCCAATGGGAACTCCACCATCTTCCAACCTATTTCTGTAAGTCCACCAACATTGTTCAAGGCGCCCAACACCCAGAGCTGGTACATGGAGTTGAGGATATTCTCCTGGGGGGGTGGGTCCATGAAGTCAAAATCAAGCAAGTTTTCGACTTTGAGGGACTTCAGTAAGAGAACCACGTTTCCCAGGTTAGTCCTTTGAATCTCTGGCACGGGGTTAGGGAGCATCTCGTTCTGGTAAGCTGATTCTGTGAACAGCCTGTAGCATGTGCCAGGACCGGTTCTTCCAGCACGTCCTGCACGCTGGTCTGCAGCTGCTCGACTACACGGAAAAACCTGAAGAGCATCCATGCCCATCCGTGGATTGTATACCTTCATCTTTCCATACCCGGTATCAATGACATAGAAGATACCATCCACTGTGAGGGACGTCTCAGCAATATTGGTAGCAACAATGCATTTGCGAGTGCCCTCTTCTGCCTTCTGAAAGATCTTGGCCTGCAAGTCAGCAGGCAACTGCGAGTAAATCGGCAAGATGGAGAGCTTGGGTACATTCTTCGTGGATGACGATATTAGCTGCTCCATGCGCTCAGCAAGAGCATAGCAAGTAGCCTCGATCTCTTCCTGCCCGGTCATGAAGATGAGGATGTCTCCAGGGCCACTCGTTATGTGAATTGTCATGGCCTGCTTCACTGCCGCTTCCACATAATCTTCACATGGTGTTTTGCTAAACAAGATATTTACTGGAAATGTCCTGCCTGGAATGTTAAATACAGGCACACTGCAGACAAAGAAAATAATTATAGGGTTTGCAGACAGTGGATTCAAATCTTTATAATGGAGAAAAAGATATAGCAAGTTCTCTTACCCTCCAAAGAACTTTGAGAATTTGTCTGCATTTAGGGTTGCAGATGTGACAATTAGCTTAAAATCCCGCCGACGTGCAACAACCTTCTTCAATATGCCAAACAAAACATCAGTATTGAGGGATCTTTCGTGTGCTTCATCCATGACGATAACACTACATAAAAGAGGGGGGAAAGCATTAATACAGCAAGCAATATTCCAAAACTGAGGTATATGAATATCACAAGATTTATCAGCACTACGAGAGAACAAGGGCAGGTTAACAGCATACCGATATTTATCAAGGTCAGCATCTTTCAAGGTTTCACGAAGAAGCACTCCATCTGTCATATACTGCAAAACAAACAGAAGGGAAAATATAATATGCGTTAGGAATTCTATGCTAAACAACTGAAAGTCAACCAAAATTAATTGTTGAACTTAAGAATGTTAACCTAAAGAGTTCTCGGAATGTGGCCAATTATATCTAATCAGAAATCATAAGGCTAAGAATGTTAACCTAAAGAGTTCTCGGAATGTGGCCAATTATATCTAATCAGAAATCATAAGGCTAACACAACAATGAGGTTACCAGCCTATGAATTGAACCTTTCTATAATCAAGTTTTTCTAACACTGCAAATATACACAAGACATGTTGATGTGAACTAAAGCACAAGCAGAATTGTACCTTTATTATAGTGCTAGAACAAGTGACGTCCTCAAATCGGATAGCATATCCAACTTTATCACCCAGTTCGGTTTCCATTTCTTCACTGACCCGCTTGGCAACACTCATGGCAGCCACACGTCTCGGTTGAGTACAGCCAACAACACCAGTTGTGGTATATCCATCCTCATGCAGATACTGAGTAAGTTGAGTGGTCTTCCCAGAACCAGTTTCACCAACGACCACAACTACTTGATTTTCACGCACAACCTGCTCCATAGCAGCAGCATAACACTGGTTATTAGCAATAATCATTTGAGAGATACTAAATACAAGAAGATACAGAAAGAAGTCCAGAATGGTGCATGAATATAGAAGGTGTTCTGAAAGGAAACTAGATTCCAAACTATTCCTATCTGAATGAAGTAGTAGGGATTTGTATATATGTCCTTCCTAGGTGATCTAATGGTCTTCACTCAACCATATTCCAAATTTGCAACCGTTTCGGATTTTGCGTAAATCACAATTCACGGTATATAGAAGTAATCATACAGCTTCGAGATGTGTCTTGTAGTAGAGGAAAGTAAGACAAAAATAATTAAACAAACAGAACACTCATAATAAGTCTATAAAACCAAGTACAAACCTGTAGCAGGTCATCTCGAACAGTATATATGGGAAGATATTGTCTTTGCTGAGAAAGAGATTTAGATTTTGCAAAATCACTGACAGCTTCTGCTTTTTCCTTCAAGTGTTGCGAAAACTTTGCTTCCTCCTTGAAATCAATCTCCCCTTGATCACCAACAACAGCAGTATCTGCATCAACCTGATTTTGCAGAAGTGAGTAAAACATATGGACAAGTCACAACATTTTTTAAGACATACACATGAAATGTGGAAATAGTTTACCTGTTCAGACGTTTTCTCAACGCCCAATATATTTCCAAGATTAGATCCAGCAAGCTCCCAGAAGCGTTGCCGCGACTTGTTCTGGCTCTGCTTTTCACGAATTTCCCTAACCAAAACAGAACCTTTTCGTGCAATGATAGCCATATCAGATGTTGGATCCTTCAGTGGCATTACAGGCTCTGCTTGCTTTGTGTATACAACTCGCCCATCCAGGAAGGGAGGTTTTGTATCTGCCAAAAATTAAGCCATCGACTGGTTTTAGTTCAAGTGCATGAATGTACTGTAAACAAGCAGAAAAAAATGTTATCAAGAAAAAACATCAAGGGCATGCCAGGGCCAAGCCATGTTCTATTCGCTTCAAACCTAGCTACTATGTACTATTATGTAAAACAAAGAAACATAGAAGAATCGCAAATATATGTCCAAATTGACATATGAAGGATGGAAACATGTGAGCGGTTTGATGCTTGCTATCGTCATATACTTCCTCTGTTCCAAATTATAAGATGTTTTTGGTAGGCTATAAAATAGCCTAACAAAACGTCTTATAATTTGGGATGGAGGTAGTAGAAGCTTTTGAGAGTGAATGATCAGAAAGATCGCAGGCTCACATTGAACACTCATGTCCACCAGCTACTTAGTCAGCACATATACTAGCAATGGAGATGGGAGCACTTAGCCAGCACATATACCAGCGAATGGAGATGGGAAAGCAGACAAATACTCCCTCCATTCACAAATATAAGATGCTCCAACTTTTTTGTTAATCGGATGTATATAGACGCGTTTTAGTGTGTTTTTCACCATTTCAGTCCGTGTATAGTCCATACTGAAATATCCAAAAGATCTTATATTTGTGAATGGAGGGAGTAGCTATTAGCACTGTGCTGGTTAATTTATACATTACAAACATATTTAATGTTTCCATCACTTCACAAGAAGGAATATTCTTGAAACTCTAATGCAAGAGAAATGGGGGATGGTTCACAAAAGGTTTGGTATGATGCTTGTTTTAGTCACAACTAACGCTGCAAGCAGAACATCGCCAAAATGAACTTCTGAAGGGAAAGAACATACCATGAACAAGAAGTATTACTTTACGCTCGTCCTCATCATCAAATTCTGTCTGCACCTCCGTTCCTCTAACAGCTCCAGACCTCAACAATTGTCTGTCCTCCCACTGAGCATTATCAGCAGTCATCTGTGATAATTTCTTGCTCTGAGAAAGGGTCATCAGACTACCATCTTTACGAGTCTGCAAGCAATAAAAATAGTTAGAAAACCAGAGTATACATGTTAAATCGACGAGTAAATGATAAACTAACATATTCGCTGAAATGCAATTGAAATATGTGAATGTGATACTCTTGAATTAGCATCCTAATTTTTGCTGTACGAATATTATAATAAGATTAATAGAAGTTCCTGCTGATGAAGCATTTAATTCATTATGTCCAGCCCACCAGGATCCGGAACTTAACAGAGGAAAATATTACGCCCTCCGATCCATAATAAGTGTCATGGTTTTAGTTCATTATTATGGATCGGGGGGAGTACAATAGATGTCTCTCAACTTGACTTTTTACAATGCATTTTGACATGTATGAGTATTATATCAGATGGTTACAGGAAAACTGAAGCCACAATACATGACACTTCACTAGAACAAATTTGTGCTTAGAAGATAAAGTACTAGACCCAACATGCAAGTCATTTACCATATACACTGACATAGTTTTCTACTATGGGGTCGCAATAATATGTGCTACTCCTACTCCTATGAATAGCGCTAGTGAATGTTAGAATGGAGTACTTCAAAGTGTGATTAAACATTAAAAAAATACCAATTTCTTAGGCAATTGTGCTTCCTTCTTTTTGTAGGAGCTATCATCTGCAGCATAATTATCACCATCGAACACAGTGTTGTGTTCTTCACAATCATACCTGAAGAATTTGTGAAGGTTAGAAGAATGACTAGCTAAACTTGGTTTTCTGACAATATAAGAATGTTGAGTTGCTATATTCATTTATAAACACTAGGACATAAGGAATTCCTAAAAGGATAAGTACCAAGCACGGTCAGCATTATAATCCATGTCTTGCATCATTTCCTCGGTAATCTCATAGTTCCTATCAGCAGCTGAGGGGCTTCTATCAGCTTCAGCATCCTGAAATAAGAGGGTAATGATTATAGGTACAATGACCACGGATCGAAGAAACAAAATCAGAGTTTAGAAGAACCTATAAAGTGATCCGAAAAGAATCATGACTTACATTTGAAAAGGTAAGCTGATGAGATCTTCCACTGGAACTTGAATACGAAGACCCTTTTGATGAACCTGAAGCCCTCACAGGAGCAGGTGAGGGAGAAACATGATCCCAAGGGGATGCTGGACATTTAAAAGAGCATAGATAATATGAGTATGAGTAAATTATAGTCAGGTCAGTGAAATATGAAGTAACATGTTTACTTTCACAGAAACAAAGTTAAATATCACAAAATATAGAGCTGAACTGCCTTTACCTGCGGAACGGGGTGTATTCCCACCTAGCCAAGGAGACACCAATCGTGCATCAGGAGATGCAGCAGCCAGCATAGGAGATCGTGTTGGATAATGTCTTTGGGAGCCAGGACGATCATCACGGTACTCCCGGCGAGGTGTATCTTCCCATTCCCATCGGCCACTGTCCCAGTCAGATCTTGCTGTAATTGCAACCACACTCCTGTCAGCTTGCATGTTAAGCCAGTCGAGAACCAAAAATGACAAAGAATACTATACCAACAAAGTACCAGGTGTTCTTGAGCTTCTCGAGCTATAGTCATCCCGACTTCTTTTGTTTGTGTAGTCGATAGATGTAGATCTGCTCCGTTCATTACGCCTACTATTCGATTCCCTGTCATCACGGTATCCTCGCCTTCCACTGCTACTATAACCAATGGATGCAGATGTCTCGCGTGCACCACGTTTGTCACGGGATCCTCTGTCATCATTCAGTTCGTACCTAGAGGCGGGGGTCTGTAAGCAACAAGGAAATAAATGCTGAGTTTAGTAAGGTGAACATAAAGTAATAAAACTCTTGACAGAGTAAGCCCTAAACCAAGCGAGAGAATGTTGTTATTACTGACCTGTTGCCGATGGGATTCATCTCGATGTCTGGGTGTAAGACCCCTTTCATTCTCATCAGTGACTGTAGATTCTGAAACAGAGTATAAAGCTTTAGTTTGACTAAGTTACATCACTGAAAATGAATAGTCGGCATACAGCCGTAACACAGTGAGGGTATATATCTCAGTAGATATTTTACGACAGAGCTGTATATATGGTCAATGGATCAAGAGAAGAAGAGGCACCTTTCGACAATGTTTTCTCACTGGAATTGGTTCCTCGATAACGGCGAGCCACGCTGCCACGGTCACCACCGGACAGGCTGCTTGCATCATTTTCTGTAGATCCTGGCCTCTCATCTTCATCCATAGAAGAAGCAGCCGTCACTACCTTCTCAGGAGGCCGCTTAAATGAATTGTTACCTTCCTTTTCTCTTTTCTTGTGTGCGAGCAGGTCCAAACCTGCAAGACAGACGAGCGATTAGCTCACTCTAAATCTCTAAGCTCCTGGCATGGCTACACGTGTTAAATACGAAGTGGGATCAGTTCATTAAGTCTACAAATCGCAATTGGCGCCGTGTTTGACTGGCAGATAGCTCTAGATTAGAAGATGCACAGCCTAAGCATCATACCTAGCGCGGATCTCCCCGGCGGAGGCCGGTACATGACCTTATCCTTGGTCGGCAGTATCAGACCCTGCGCCGTGTCATCCTCCGGGCCGAGGGTGCTTGTCGTCGCGTCGAGGTCCAGCCTGCCGTCGGAACTCATCGTGGGGAGGCGCCGTTGGAGCCGGAGAGGGAGGTGGCCGGGGTGAGGAGTGAGGACGCTGGCTCAATAGCGGGCGTGGCCCCAGTGGCCGCGTCGGGAGGGCGGCAGTGTCTCGCTCGCCGGCGTTGAGGGCGGCTGGCCGATGGAGGAGCTGCGGCGGCGGGATAGAGAGGAGGAGGCGCGGGTTAGCGGGGTCGGTTTGGGGAATCAGATGTAGAGCCAGAGAGAAGGCGGTACGGGAGGGACGTGTTGGGTCGATTCGGGACTGATTGATCTGAAGGCGGTATGTGGGTCCTTTTTTTGTTTTTCAAAGCTTTATGTGGGTCGAACAGGTCTATTTTGTTTGGTTTTGATGAAGGATATAAATCATGGTTGGGTTTGGGTACCCCTGATTTCCTATTCCGTTTTCCCCTCCAACTGCTGCAGCATGCACAAAGAAGCACATACATCAGTGCACCACGCACACAGCACTACACCACACACGCGCTCGACCGGCAAGCGCGCGCGCGCAGCAGGCACGCCAGGCAAGCACACGCCCACACGCCCATCGCCCAGCACGCAGCGCGCGCGGCACGCCCGGCCGGAGAGATACGCCACCATCTGCGTGAAGAAATGAAGAGGAAGAGGAAGGAGAAGAGGGCACTGCAATTAGAAGATAGGGAAGAGGGATCCATGCCCCCGCGGAATCACCTCCGTAGCCGTGCTTTGATTTATGCCGCCGCCGGCACAGCCCACATGAGAGAACAGAGATAGAAAGAGGAGGGGAGGGGGGGTGAAACGATGGAATTGATGCACCGACCGATTCTGGGCCACAAGATGGAGAATAGATGGACTGGATGACATCATAGGGTGGCCGATGGTACATTTTATAGAATAGACCTTGCGTCTTTCTGAAATCCTATCGTCCCCTTCACTTTCCTCTTTCCTCTCGTGTGCATCTCTTCGTGAGATCCCCTCTCTGGCGATCTATGATGATGTGAGCCCTCTCAGTATAACTCCCACCCTAATGGTTGTTGCAATCCTCTTTCCTCTGTCCCTTCCCACCATCTATCCCTGTGCATGATGGGGCTGGCTATGGCTTGGCGCGGCCGAGGACATGCTTTTGGTTTGGCACCGCCGCTACCGTTGTAGGCTATGATTCAGCGATGCCTCAAAATTCCTAACAACATGATGTGCTTTTTTTATTCAGATCGTGAGTCACATATTTTATTCTGTAGAAGCAGCGGGAAACGGGTATTTTTGGTATATGCGGACCTTCCCCATGTTGATGCTTGTGCATTCGCTATGCCCAGTTCAAATTCTACTTCAGCCTTCTATCCTAAATTTTGTGCTGAATTAAGGACACAAGGAAATAACGCGTAAAAGATGTGTCTGAACTACAACACATCTTTAATGATTTCTCTCAGAACCTGAGAAATCATTCGACCATTCCCCTGGTGGATTTGGCCACAAAGTAATTGTTAAGCTGCATGAGCATATATATAGACACGGTCCAATTAACGTCATGTCACAGCACAACTAGTGGAGGCACCATTTTGCATTGGAACAGAGAGCGGAATTTGCACATCACTTGAAAGAACCAGTCTTTACCTATGTTATCTATACCTACTAATAAAGGGGCTATTGTTTCTTACCACCGTAATTTTGTCCATCCTTGGTTTGGTACGTCAATTTCATCTGTCACGCTGCTGGTACATTTCATCCTCGATACAACTTCGCATACATCACTTGAAAGAACCAGTCTTTACCTATATTATCTATACCTACTAATAAAGGGGCTATTATTTCTTACCATCGTAATTTCGTCCATCCTTGATTTGGTACGTCAATTTCATCCGTCACGCTGTTGGTACGCTTCATCCTCGATACAACTTCGCATACAGGCTGGGCTAATCGCCTTACTAGGCCTTGGCCCGAAATCGGCCCAGGCAAAAATATGACGCAAAACCGAGATCACGCAGAAAATAAATGTCTTCACGTGGAATCAAACTCCCAACGCTGTACGTCTAGGCCCAAGGCTCCAAGCAACAAAACTAAAGCATCTAGATGTGAACAAAAGGTTTGTTTCTTTATAAATTAGTACCACCTCGCTGCTTTACGATCTGTTCGAACGATTTATATATGTTTCCTATTCAAAATCAATAAGCAGCCTGGAGAATTAATGGCAACAAAGATGGCTGACATATGACTTAGATTTCATGAGATGTGTGCCATGATCAGCGGGCACAAATAAGGAAAAAGAGTGGCGTGATTAGCAAGCATAATATGGAAAGTGAATTTGGCACAAAGAAAAGGAAGGAGAGGATAATGACCATATAATACCAGCGTGGGATCCTTGGGCGAAAATAAGGAAGGTGAGCTCCCAAAAAAAGAAGGGAGAGAACAACCTTGCAAAGATATTACGTGAGCTTAAATAAGGAAGGAGAGTTCCTTTAAAAAAGAAGGAGATAATAATATGTTGCAAAGGAATTATAATACGAGGGCATGATCAATATATATAAATAAGGAAGGAGAGTTTGACAAGAAAGAAATGCCTTTAAGATTTGAAAATTAGGGGGGTCCTTTAGGGTCAGAATTGTCATACAAAAATTGTATCAAAAAGTATTGTATGTGTAACTAACTAGGGATTGTCGGTTCAAATGCGAAGGAATTATAATTCATTATTTCTAATATACTGGAGATGGTCTAACAGAACCCTTTTAGCGAGATTTTTTTATAACAACTTACAAATAATGCCTTTAAGATTTGAAAATTAGGGGGCCTTTTAAGATCAGAATCATCGTACAAAAATCGTATCAAAAGCATTGTATCTGTAGCATGCTTCTTAATGTAGAATTGGTAAAAGACTTCCTCGCCTGCGAGCGTTGCAACGCTCTGCAACGCATCTGGGGACGAAGCAACATAAATCTCTCCTCACCCTAATTAATCTCTCTCCCCCGGTGAATTTAAGGATGGGCCCACACTAACTAATCACCCCACGTGAATTAGCCACGCCCATTGCGCGCCCTCCCGACGTTGCCGGATGGCATCATTTGGATGTTGTTGGGCCTTTCGATGGATACACCATTATATCTCCCGTTGCAACGCACGAGCATATGCGCTAGTACATATAAATGGAGAGAATTAGTCTTGATCCGACTCCTCAGTTGTGCCTGGAGCAGAACATAAATTTCTGAAACTTTACAACACTAACCTGATTCAACGGTCTCTCAGGTTTAACAATATAGGATTATGCACAACATAAATAGTTACACAGAGCCACTTGAACCATGGTAATACATAAAATTGTTCCATTATGTTGGCATCCCGAACTACTTACACACATCACCTTTGTACTGGAAGCATCCAAGTGCATAAATGACACAGAAGTACATATAGACTAGTACAAATTTGTTTCCTTTATGTACCAGGTTTACACAAAAGGAACTGAAATAAAACTTGGCAGCGGCATATAGTAGGCATACTTCACAAGGAGAGCATTTCAGGCGATAGAGTACAAAACAGTCACCGGTGCAACTAGCATGAACACAGAAAATTCATTTTGATAGTAGGTGCCAGACTTCAAGATTGATGTTATGCATAATGCATGTCGAAATGACTCCAGAGCCTCATCCTGCAAGAATACACCTAGGAATTAAATTACTGTGTTAAATGGTTCACCATAATAATTATGTAATACAAGTGGAGGAAGCATTATAGACCATTTGAGCTGTGAACGAACATTTTTAACTTGGTAGCCACCACATCTACTTATCATGGGCCTTTTGGACGTTATTTACCTGTAACGGGTAACAAAACCACATATGTAAAACCTTCGAGGACATATTTTTTAAAAGATTATTAATTTACCTCTTCCACACCAGTACATCATTTTCATCTTTGTGTGTTGTCCATGAGCGAACTGATAACTCAACCTCCTAAGCATATGATCTGTAGAATGCCACACCATCCTCTCATGTATCAAATTGCATACCATTTTTGGGATGTAAGGCATCATCAAACTCGGGCTCATATGTTGAACCCTACATAGGCACATTAATGAATTGGTTTGGTTCATACAATGGGTTTCACGAAGTGAATGAAAAAAAAACTTACACAGAATGGAAGATTTTGTTGTTGTTTTGGCTTGCTATAGTTATTCCATGATTTGTGAAAACTAAATTGCGTCCTTGCAATTTAAGAAAAAATCAGTCAAATGATATGAATGTGCATGGCAAACATGATGAGTACAACAAGGGAATTGCCACAGAAAAGCTATTGGCATCATCTTCAACTCCTATTTCTGTGGTTGAACCAACACTTAGAGCAACACTTGCCACTAACTCCATGACAGACTAGTTGGGGAAATATAATGTAACATCCCGGATGTAACTTTCCCAATTTGTACTCCAACTCTTGCCGTTTTCGGCGTTAAGTTATATTTATTTCCTCGGGTTCGGGTTTTGTCTCCGTGTGTTGTTGTCGTTGCCATGCATCTCATATCATGTCATCATGTGCATTGCATTTGCATACGTGTTCATCTCATGCATTCGAGCATTTTTCCCGTTGTCCGTTTTGCATCCCGGCGCTTCGTTCTCCTCCGGTGGTCATTTCTAGCTTTCTTTCGTTTGTGGGGATTAAACATTTCCGGATTGGACCGAGACTTGCCAAGCAGCCTTGGTTTACTACCGGTAGACCGTCTATCAAGTTCTATATCATTTGGACTTCGTTTGATACTCCAACGTTAACCGAGGGACCGAAAAGGCCTCGTGTGTGTTACAGCCCAACACCTCTCCAATTTGGCCCAAAAAACCACCTAACTCTGCTCCATCATCTAGAGCGTTTGATCACGATCACGTGGCCGAAAACCGCACCCCATTTGGACTATCCTAGCTCCCTCTATGCCTATTTAAACACCCCTCCCCCGAAATTCGGATCTCCGTCTCCCCCGTAACCCTAAAACCTGCTCACGCCGCCGCCGGACATGTCCGCCTCCTAGCGGACACATCGCCGCCGCCAAT